AAGATATCTAGGTAGCATAATTTACAATGCATCTGTACAATAAGCAGGAGCTGTGGATTCAAGTCCTGCTCCAAATAAATTTTTTCTTCCAGAATATTCTAAAATTAATTTATTTAATAAAAATTAATAGGCTTCCTTTAATGCAAATTACTTTATATATTTACTTAACTAAGTTATAGCCCAATAATTCTGGTGTTATCCTTTGATTAAGTTATAATTTGGGCTTAGTTTACTGCACAGGAAATATTTAAATTTCTGATGTGACTAAACAATAATTCAAAAATTTACTCTTATAAATACAATTTTCAAATCACAAATTTTAAGTTTGTATGGATTATATCAATAATTCTACTACTTCCTGTTTAATTCTAGAAATGAATCTAATGGGTCTAAAAAAAAAAAAAAAGAAAAAACACTTGTAAAAGTGTAGTAGAACCTTTAATATAGGAATTTCATTGGTTTCATTTAATCTTTAGACATTTAATTTAATAGCCACAAGAAAACAGCCTGTTCACAATTGTTGAGAAAGTGGAATCTGTAAAATTCCAAAATTGTCCTCACAATACCTGTGTAGTTTTTACTCTCTGCTTCCATTTCAAACTCAACTAGTGGATTCCTTAAAAGTGTTCCTATTAGTCAATACACAGACTGATTGGTTTAAAATTGATAGAGGAAATTACAGCCACCTGTTACCAGAATTCTTCTCATGATTTTACTATTCTCTGATTGGCTGGAATATTTATAAATTAAGATAATGAAACAAAACTTATTTTACAACAAATATGATATCTTAGCTATTTTTCTACATAGTCGCCACACAAATTTAAACATTTATCATAGCGTATCACCAGCTTTTCTATGCCTTCTGCACACTCAGTTACCGCCAAGTTCTTGAACCAGTCATTAACAGCCTCTTTCAGTTTGTTGTCACTTCCAGTGATTCCCAGCCAAAAAAATTCCTTCAATTTTGGGAAAAGATGGTAATCACTTGGAGCCAAGTCCGGGTATAAGGAGGATGTTCAAAAACTTCCCACTTAAACTGCTGAAGCAAGTTCTTCGTCAACGCAGCAGCATGCAGACATGCGTTATCCTGAAGAAGCACAATGCCTCTGGACAACAATCCCCACCATTTGTTTCAAACTGAAGCTTCATTCATCACATTACCATAAACTCGGTTATCTGTCTGTAAATTTCAATATGGCAGACTTTTTTCGCATTCTAAAAGCGTATTACACTACAAACCTCTCACTTGGCGGGATCATTAATTTTGTCACAGATTTCAAAGTCACACTGTAAACAGTAAACAATCATTGTGGTTTGCTGTTAACATCAGACTGGTGAGAAAAAATGGAAAGGTCCATGACATGGCAGTGGGGGGTGGTGAGAGAACTGTGCAGCTTGTCAGATCAAAACATTCTTTTCTTTTAGAATGACCCTGGTATTAAAGATAATCAAAATGCAAAGAACCAAAAAATGCACAAACTTAGATAGGCCAATTAATTTCAATAAAGAACATTTAAATTGTTATGATTCTCCAAATGTACTGTACTGTACTGTACATCTAAAAACTTAGTTATGGCATTATAAATAAAATTTCTCCAAGGAAAACTTAAATATCCTTTCAATTTCTTTAGGAATGATACCGGATCTCTAAAAATAAAAATTAAAAAAGATATCAGAGATCTGATATCATTTCCTCTGGAAAATAGTGACATTATGAAGTAGGGAATAAAATACTTATAAAAGATATTTCAAAAATAAGTACATGATTAACTAGATCTTACAATGTAAATACAATTTGCATCTGTAAACATTCCTGTTCACTTAAAAAATACTTCATAAATAAATTAGATGCAATATTAGTTGAAAGAAAATTACTATTTCAGAATAAATAATGATAAGGGCTGGAAAATAGTTGAGAAATTAACTATTCAGAGAGATTAGGAAATGAAATTGTTAATGGAAAAGTTTTCCACATGTTACAGAAATGTACGTACGTGTAAATATATAAACTGTTAATCATTAGTTTTCTATTAAATAAATTAATAGATAACTATGTTTTTATAAATGCCAATTATTTTGGGTTGGGTTTACGGAAGTTAAGTTTATTTTTAATAAACTTCAACTTTATAATAAAATTTTAAAAAATATTTAAAATCTAATAGCATACATATAACAGATTTAGGTTGGCTGAGAGCCATGGAGAGCTGTGGATGCTAAACTCACACCCAGTAAGTTCTGTGAGTAACTAACATGGTTATATATATAAATTAATTAATAAATAGCTCTGGAGGAAAAAATGGAGGACTAGGTAGTATAACTGAAATGTATCTTCATGGTAAGCAGGAGGTACAAGTTTGAGTCTCACTCCAGGTAGATTCTTTCTTTTCAGAATATTCAATTAAAATTTATTTATTTATAATTATTAAATTCATTATGAGAGCACTGCTTAACCACCTACCTCTAGCCAAATTGCTTTGTATCTAAATATGAATTAGCCTTAATATAGCCCAATAAGTAGTCCAGATTTTTTAAAATTAAATAGATAAAACAGAATATTCAAAATGCATTATTATTTATCATCATTCTGATGAAATTGATACAATATATATTGAGATATGAAGTATTAATACTTGTACTTGAGAAAATTAGAAAAAATTATAGCCAGACATTGTACACGAAATGCTACAATGGTCACATTTCTGATTTTTATATTAACATTTTGAAAGTGTATTTAGACAAATAATTAAATTTCTTAAATTAAAGTGTTTTGTTTTGGTAATATTTTAAATAGGGAATGACAATGTAAAAAGAAAAAATACAACAGAAAATATCATTAATTATGTAGCATGTATTTACAAATGTTATATACTGTATTTAATGTGTTTGAAAAGTACTGGTAGTTGTTACTTATTACGAAACATTTGTTTGTTAAAATAACAAAATAATAGTAAGTTTTGAGCAATGCATTTTGTTTTTTCACTCCACATCATATAAATTGCTTTGTCAAGAGTAACTTATCCCTTTAAAAGTTATTGTTACTTAAACTTTTAACTAACAATAACTGATGAGAAGCCTGTGATAGGAAAGAGTAATCAAACCTGAAATAAATTAATCTATCTATAGCAAATTAGGATAAATGATATATCAAATAAAGCTAAAATATCTTAATTCAATAAAATAGGGAAAAATTAGGAAGCTAAATGCTACTAAAAGCTAAAATAAAAATTTTGTAATTTTTACATTTTTCCTGAATTAAAATAAAAATATGAATTTTCCTATATAATCTAATCTTTAATTAAAAACAAATTTTTTGAGTGTAGCTTTAGAGACTTTTGATGTCCTATATACTTAGATTAAAAACAACTTAGTTTTAATTAAATTTGATAATTTATTTAATCTATCTGCCTACCTTTTAAAACAAATTATTTTATATTAGTTATTAATAGTTACACAAAATATGATCACATAATGATATTTAATGACATGGTTATATATATATAAACAACAAAGCTTGAATATTCTGTNGTCTGTATACATTTATATATATATTTCGCTCGTTATTTTATTTTATTTGTATTTAAATTTTTGTTCTATTTTATTTATATTCGTATGTTCTTAGCCTGACGATGGCCAACTGATTTGGCTGAAAACGTTAGTTTTACATTAAATTTTTTCTCAGCAAATTAAGGTGTTTTGTTTTTTGATTTATATACTATTGCTGAGTGTGTGTACATCAATTATAATAAGTTTTGCACAAATAGAATTTTTTTATGACTTTTATTGATGATTATTGAACATAATGCCATTTACAACACTATAATGATTTAATATATTGTTAAGTGATTAATTTTGTGTTTGTAAAATGTACAACAACAAAATTCTGAATATCAATACATCAATTATAATAAGTTCTGCACAAATAGAATTTTTTTATGACTTTTATTGATGATTATTGAACATAATGCCATTTACAACACTATATGGATTCTAAATTGTTTAAGAAAACAGATATTTACTGTATTATCAATGACAAAGAATTTATTTTTATGCATTTTGTGTCAACATAACAAGTTTTGTAATTCAAAATAAATAGCTTTATGCTAATTTCACTTTTAAAATACTGTATGTTATTTATTGTTTCTTAAACAAATTTCTTTTATAAAATTCCTTTTTTCAATAATTAAAAAATAAATTCTTTTTAGTAAATTAATAAACGACCTATTTCTACTCACTATATTCCCGATTTAAAATAGTCAAGTAAAGACTTCAAACTATACAGTATGGCCATCGCTTCCTACACATTCTAATTCTTGCATTTATAGTATGTCATTTACTTTAGAATTGCAAGACAGTATTAAATCAACATTGAAACCTACACATTTGTTTCATACTTAACTCTACTTTGAAATATTTAAATTTACATTAAGTCAAAATTAAATTAAACAATAATAAAGACACACGACGGTAAATCAACTCGAACAGCTGATATCTCATCAATTAATCGGTTTAAATTTATAAAATAATCATGCACTATCAATCACATTATTTCTTTCAATTAATTTTAAAATGAAGAATTTATAAATCACTGAAAACATTTAAAATAAGCAATCTTTATATAAATGGCTTAATTCAACTTTTATTGTTTACAAACATTAAAACCACTCGGTAATGTAAAATTCCCTTCATAAAAGTAATTTTATTTTACTTTTATTCTTGTTGATAAAGTGAAACAGACTAAATTAAGATATCTTTTATCTCTTTTACAGCTGATTGTTATAAATAATAATCAAAACATTGAATATGAAATTAGTCAAAATCAGTGTGAAACATGGAACCAATTTTTTTTTTTAGAAAGTTTTTTTTTTTTAACCAATTGATCATCTTACAGTATGAGAAATTAAGCATAATTATTCAATATAATATTAAAATAAATGATTAATATAATGGTAAAGAGAATTTCAATAGGCGCAATAGGTTTTTAAAGCGAAGTGACTTACCTTCCAACCATTTCCAGCATTTCTATAATAAGAGAAATTGGTTGATATCCAGTTATATATTTCGCTCAAAGTCATTTTCTTTGTAGGAGAACTGTTGATAGCAAAAGATATCAAAGAGGCATAACTATAAGGTGGTTTACTCTCTTTCGGATTGCAGTCGTTGCTTGCAGCACAGCAGTCCAAATTGCCGTCCCCCGATCCACCATTAATACCACCTCGGACATTTAAACGCGGTAACCAGTCCATAGATGTCAGACTTTTATCCAATTCGGCCATGGCGAATCGACTTTTATGTCATCCTTAACGGGCCAACTGCCACTTGCCACCATGTTAAAAACTATCGGCTCGTTCCACCCATGACATTATCGCACAGGCGGCATCTTCCGCTGACTGGTCGTGCATTCTGTTTTGTATTCGGTGCTGCGTCGATGCCGAGTTGCCACCTCTACTGGCGATTACGTTTTTCGCCAAAATTTTCCGAATTATTTAATAGCGTTAGAATCGAATTGCGGAGGGGAATGAAATTTATAAAATATTTTTTATTGCGTTAAATACTTTTAAATATTTTTAAATGTTAAAAATAAAATTAAATTAAGAAAAAAAAACATTTTTTTTTTATTTTTTACTTTTGGTCTGACGCTACATGTTGCCATCTCAAAGCAAAATTATCTTTTGGATATAATTCTTATACATCATTTTATAAATTTTTGTAAATGTAAAATTTAATAAAGCGGCATAATGTTACGGAATTTTTTCCTACTTACTATATTTTTTTAAAGTATTTTCTTCAATATTAAATTTAAATAATTGGTGAAAAATAATTGCGTACTTACAAAAATAACGCGTAATAAACATTTACTTGATTATTTTTATATATTATTTATTACAAATTAAAATTCATTGTTTAAGTGTATATACACTGGATTTTAATTTTGATATTTTTTCATATAAATAAATTGTTTCTGTTAAGAAAACAATCTAATATTTAGTTCAAGTGTTTTGACGGCAGGATGGCCGATACGGTAATTCTGCGGTTAAAATGGTAGGATTTACGGCTTTGGGGATTGAATTTGGACAGGTGGAAAAACCCCAGGAATTTTTCGGGGTATAATCTGGCTGGATATGTCGGCCCTCTCTCGCCACCCAAACGCTCCATTGTGGGATTGGGCGATCCCATAATGGGCTTACTAAAATAAAAGCACTCAGTGCCCACAGGGTGAAAAGTTTTAAAAAATTTCAAATTTTTAATTTTATAAATAGAATCGTTCAGCACCATTACGGAAAAAGATATTTAAAGTTTATAAAAGAAAATTAAAATGTAAGTTAAGACGGCCAGCTCACTGCCCTGGGCATTCCGAAGTCTAATCTGGGCAAGCAACCCAATTTGTCTTGCATACGTCGGATCCTCTCCCTCACCATCCGGCCACCCTCATTGTGTGTCTATGCAAGCTCATGATGGACATGGGAAAGACTCTCCTGGTGCCCATTCACAAGGAAAAAAGCCAAAAGTGAAAAGAAATTATTAATTATAAATATAAATTATAATATAAAAAAAATAAAAACTATAAATATACGTATAATAATGTTCTTGCGGGGTAGGGATTGAAACCACAGCCAAAATTTGAATTAAAAAGTGCAATTTTTCATAAGACATCAGTTACAGTCTACACGTGTTTAAATATGATATAGTTATGATAGATGCACGTGGCACATTGGTTCAAATACTTAAAAGAAAGATCAAAACACTTTTTTTTAGTTTTTTTAAACTCTTTCTGCTCTGTGGACATTGAGAGTGTCTTTTTTCCATGGCCATCGTGGGTTCGACCAAGCCCACAATAGAGCGGCCAATTGGTAAGGGGCAGGGTTCAACTTATCCGGAACTACACTACCCATAAAAAATTTCTGAGATCCCTGACCCGAATTCTAATTCTAACTGCCAACCCTCAGGTCGGGTCATCCGTAGAGCCAGACTGATGCCTTTACCTCCCGGTCCAGTGCCGGTCTGAGGCAAGTTTTAGGATGGAACGAGATCCTATTATGGCGCTCCCCTTGGTTGCCCCTAACTTATACCCTTTAATTTTCTTTACCACTGAGACGCTCCCTAGGACTTAGCGCCTCTATGGTAGAGCCGTTCCCCTATGGTAGGGCCGGCTCTGTCCCGGTCGTCAATCAAAAATACTTTTCAAAATTTTATTTAAGATTAAAAACATTGCAAATTATTCTAAATGGCACTAGAACCTTCTATAAAGCACAGCGAATGAATCATTAATTACAAAATTTATTTTCTTGACATTGACTTTCTTCCTACACCACGCATTTATTTCTAATTCTTCATATATTTGTATTACATTTTTGGACTAATTCTTAAAATTTCACAATTTATCTCTTATTTCAGAATTTCTGCAATAAATTTTAAACGAATTTCACAATTATTTGAAAAACTTTTCCTTCTTTAGCTAAAAATTTTCTAGTTAATCACGCAATTTTGTATAAATTTGTTTAATTTATTTCGAAGGAAATAAATAAACTGGAATAATAAGGAATACATAAATTCTGATATTTGTATAATCCAACATTTGTAAATGAGGAAAATTATTTTAAAAATCTATCGTATAAACAAATGCCGACAATTGTCTTTCATATTTAAAATATAACTTGATGTTTGGTTTGATTCAGTTGATGAGATGAAGCAACGCATCACATGAATGATCTTTCAAGAGGTTGGGAAACTGGCCCTTATTTGGGTGTTAGACATATCAAAAAATCCAGAAAATCCATGCCGACCATGTGCCAACTAATTACCAGAGTTCAGTGGTTTTATCCGTTCGGTCACTGATGGACCTATAACCTGATGTAAGTTACAAATACGTACAAAGAAATCTCCTGTTTCTGACGAGAAACTTCATTACTCCGTAGTTAAACAATTCAGATTTACTTTTTAGTTATTTCAGCCAGTTCTGCTTTGTTTATCTTGCGATCTTTTACCATGGTTTTCCCATAAAAGAAGTTCGAGATATGATATTTTCTGAATGGCCATACAGTTTAAGTTATCTTTTATGCACGAATATCTCTGTGATAATTAAGTTCAGATCTAATACGTAAAAATTTATTTTTATCATAGAAAAAATAAATTAGTGAAATATAAAGATTGTTTAAATATAGGAATATTATTTTATCTGTCTAAAATATTTTCCAGGAAAGTAATTTTCTGCATTTGCTTTAACAATACAAACAAATTTACGAAAGGCTCTTCTCTCTGTTTCTAACTTTTCTCTGTTTTATCTGTCTGTATCAGCCTGCCGTCTGAGAGACTCGGGATCGAATCTAGACGGTCGAAAAACCCTAGAAATTGTTTATGGGAGGTCCATCCATCAGCACCTGATCGCTTCCACTATGGGCTCAGCTGAACCCACAAAAAAAGAGGCTCTTTTAGTTTCCACAGAGCGGAAAAACTCAAAAGAAAGAAAAAACAAACTTTTTTCTATTCATCCCTTATGATTAAAATATAATGACGATTAGGACCGTTCCGAATAATTTTTGCGTCTTAGGCAAGCCTAAAATTATCGTCAATATATTTATATTTCTATAAACATTACAACGGCTTTTTAGTATACCTTCCAATTTATTGCCGGAGGCAGTTGCCTCTCTACTTTATCTATCGGCATAGCACGGCTTTAATGATGATTGTATTGAATAAGAATTTTTGGACAGTATACGGTATACTCATGTATATATATATATATATATTAAAAAATATATATGTATAATTTTATAGATACAAAATGTATACATAATTGTATTTATTATCCGATAATTACGTTTATTAAATATCTAGAAACAATAAAGTCAACCTTCCAAAAAATATACAATATAATTAAAACATTTCATAAAAATAGATCCTTAGGAATTGAATTTTCTTCAGTACGATTCAGAATTTCCTATATACAATTTTGTTTGAGGCAAATACATTAAATATATCAATAGTTATTATAGTGCATAGAAGGTTTATTTTAATTCTCTCTGCCCTAAGGACGTTAAGAAAGTCTTTATAAAAATTTACAGATTCGCTCGCTTCCAAATGCTGGAGTTCTGTCTGAGTCCCGAATATGTCGAACCACTTACTGACTGTAGAGGACATATTCAGCCAGATCACTCATTAAAATTTTTGAGAATCAGAATCTTTAATGAATTCGAAACCAGACCTCTCAGGGCGGTAGGCTGAAAAGAATAATTTAGAAAAAATAGAAAAGCCTTACATAATTTATTTGGTCTTTTCTGAACAATTCGTACTTGCTCTTGTAACAGATGTATTCACCAATAGCGGAATGGATGAAACCGCTAAACACTTTGTCATGAGTTTGCGCCCGATTAACGGACTGGCCGCGTGGAGCTTTTCGAATTATCTTTATGTGTCTAACACCTAAATAGAAACCAGTTTTTCCATGGAAAAGTTTTTCGGGAGACACCTCCTCCTTTGCAAAGAGGCATATATTATTTGTAAAAACGTTTATTTAATTCATGAGTAATACTCAAGCATCTATAATTTTATTTCTAAAGTTATATTCTAAGTTAATTCCATATTATGTTAAATTATAACGGAATCATGGAATTAATAAAATTCCTAAGCTTAAGGCTCCGCCTTCATTGAAAAAAATGTCGATGTAAATACTGTAAATCCATTAAAGAAGGCCGCCATCGAGTTAATCTGAACTATACATGTGTTGTATTTTTGGGAATATGTTTTTGTCGTAGACCATCTACGTCCATTAACAATGAATTTATTTATTTAAATATTTTATAAATTTGACATCGAAACGGGCGTCTGGTTTGTTCCTTCAATCTCTTTTTTAAACTCCACTGTTATTGCTCTTGAAAATAATGGCGGAGTTCTCTAGAAGTTGGAAAGGAATTGAAGAAACAATAAAATATACCATAGATATAAAATAAATTGCATAATTACAAAAGACTTATAAATATAATATAAATTGCGGAAGTTTGCAGAGTTCGTCCCGAACAGAAATCGAATCTAAACTCTTTCCTGGAAGCTTTGTTTCATACTTAAATAGTTTTATAAAAATAAATTTATTTTTCTGATTTTATTCATCAGTCTTTTTGAAAAATATAAAATAATTTAATAATTTATTTTATAATTTTTCATAATTATAGCAATAAATAACAACGATTTCGTATTTATTACTGTAACGATTACTGAAAATTTTTATATTAGATAAACCTTCATTTTGAAGAAGTTATTCAGATGTTTGCGCAACAGCAATCAAGCTTATTTGACAATGTTGCATTGTGAACGGAACATTATGAAATAGCAATGACTAGCAGATCACGTTTGTAGAATTTCTATGTAAAGGGAAACTGTTCGAAATTATTTATTTAGGAGTAATTTAAAATTAGCAAAAATTTAGAAAAACGAATATTTGCATTTCTATTAGCAATTAAAGATTCAGAAGCCTCTAAAACTAAAATGAAAACATCATGAATTGAAGAAAATTGCACGAAAGTTGTATTAGAAAAGTGTAGATCATTATTATTGTTCGCATGAAAGGTCGAAGGATAAAATTTCGAATGATGTTTCGCTTCATAAGTTTCGACTGTGTTGAAATTATAAATTCGGCTAGCGATTTTCTTTACTGATTTTAAGATGCTCATTTAAGAAATTCGGAAAATTGTCATTAATTAAACGAAAAAAAAATTAATTACTGACATTTTCCTATATTTAATATAGGCCTACATATTAATTATTTATTCAAAATTTATCCAAAATTTATTCAAGAAAATCGGCAGCTTTGTTATTATTATAAAGTTTATTTTCATCATGAAAATGTAAGCTTTGTTTCACTTTCTGAACAAATTTAATTTGCTATTTTTAAATATTAAAGTATTTGTTATGACATTTTCATTATGAATAGCAGAAATTAACTTATAAATAAAATTTTATGCGCCTATTTTTTGAAAAATATGTTGAATATTGCTACTCTAAACGACGAATAATGAAAAATAAACCCAGTTAAAAAAAATATACATATAATTGCACATTTATTTCAGAGTTTTATTTAAAGAACTGTAATAATAATAATAATATATCTCTTGTAACTTACTTGAATGGTTATAAAGTTTAATGCTAACCGTTCTAGCTTCTCAAAACATAGATCGCGACTCCTCTGAAATAGAAATGTAGATAAGGAATTGAGGTTCATTTCTTTTCTTGGGCGTTCACAGAAAATTTTTCAGGGGAGGCAAAGCTTGGAGACTTGACATCAATAAATTTTTATTTAATTTTTTTTACAAGTAGAGTATAAAATACAGTACTACATCAAAGCAACCATGATCGAGGGTGTAAGGTCATATGTGTCAATCCCTTTTACGATTATAATTTGTGGAAATTTTTACTCCATCCCAGGGAGGGACAAGTGTCTCTTTTGCCTCTCTCTGCAAACGTCTATGCTCCTTTTTTTCGCTTCAAAATTCGTCCTGATAATGTAACTACAATTTAATATATGTTAATAAAATAATATTCTACTAATAATAAAATACAAATGATATTTATAAAACTCTCGCTTTTGTATTATATACGACGAAACTTTATATGATATTGTCGATTTGTTTGTAATAATACTAAATAATTTAAACGAATAATAAAGCAGAAACACCCAAAATTGTAATATTATTATATAAATTACACGTCTATTTAATAATAAAATGAATATCGGGCAGGAAAAAAGAATTGTGACCTCTAAAGAGATCCGAACCTACGTCTTTCTTTGACACGTGTTTCTTGTTTGTTAACAATTTAAACCACTCGATTAGTATACAAATATATGACAACTTTAAATTAGGTTGTATTATTCAATTCTATAAAATTGTTTAACAATGATAAAATCTTGTTTAAAATGCTTGAATGCATAAAGCCTTATTAATTTATTTTTATTATCAGACCTCCCATTTGTCATTTTAATTATTTTTTTTTAATTATTTTTATGTGTTAGGAGTACTTTCTACTGATTATAATTTGTATATTATTTTAAGGTTTTTGGAAATTTTGTCGCAGAAAACGGTAAAAACATGTCGAAAATTTAAATAAACGTGTTGCTTCGATTGATAAAATTCCAAGAAGGAAAAAACAAGGAGCCACGGGCGTTAATAAGATAAATTAAAGGCGCAGCCAGTGATGTGCGATCTATTCTCGATCCGATCGAATACTTTAACAAGGTCGTAGTCAAATCTGGCCGGCTGCCGGAAGGTAATAACAACACAGAGAATGTCCTCTACCTTCGACAAAGTCTATAAAAGGAGAACAACACGCGAAAAACACTGGAGAAAGATCCAAAGACAAGATGAAGCTTGTAAGTATCGATCTCTGATTCGATACCCGCTTCATTCCGATGCCATTTTTAACTTTAATTTATTTTTTGTAGCTCATCGTTTTATCGTTTGCAGTCGTCTGTTTGGCTCAACAAGACGACGGATACTACGAAGAGCCCAGACAACGACGCGTTTCCCCGCGACGCGACGATTATTACGAAGATCCCAGGGCCCAAGCATACAAATTCGGTTACAACACTGGTAACGACGGACCCGCTCAAATATTCAGAGAAGAGACCAAAGCTCCCGACGGATCCATCGTTGGCAAATACGGCTATGTAGATCCAACCGGCAAATTGAGGATCATCAATTACAGATCCGCTCCTCAAAAGGGTTTCGAAGCGAGCAGAGGAAGTAGAAATAATCAAGAACAGCAACAACAACAACCGCAACAACCACTCGGAGCCAATCCCAGGACACATTACGTCGATTATCCTTACGATGGGGCCTTCCAGTACCAAGAATTATATTAGAAACGATTTATCGTTCTCGCGTTAAATACTGTGTTCATCTAATATCCTGAACATTCCATTAATGTGATATCGATTCAGTATTTAATATATCTTGTAATCTATAGATTTAATAAATTTTTATATTTAATTACTATTCAAGTTTTAATAAAACTTTAATTTTATAAGCAATGGCTTTACTTTCGCGAGTTACGGGTTGACTTTTTAGAATTATGCATAGAAGAATTATGAAAATACGTTACTTAACTATTTCCCAACCGTCGCTATTTTTTAAAAAAAAATCCTTTAAAATATTATATATACGATTTACAAAACACGAAAGAAGCGATTCATTCGAATTTTGGCAACAACCTAGTCCTTGATGCCAGCCCGTAGCTTCCATTTATAAAACAATGGTTCTCTCCACCTCGCAGAGTCAAAAGTTGACGACATTGACCCACTTACTCATCCGCCGATTGCGTTTCCAAAAAACTCGACGATAAGAATCAACAGGAAATCCTCGCGAAGGGTGTTCATCTATAAAAATTCTTTTATATATTTTCATACAATTCTTCGAGTGTCTGTCGATTCTGTGCACTTCCCGAAAATGTCATAATTGAAGAGGAAGAGAAAATGTTAAATACATAAAAATTTAAGGATCATTTCTCTTATTTTTTTTATTTTTTTATTGTTCAAATTATGAACTTTTATATAATCGATTTTATATTAAAAACAGTTTTATAAATTGTCTTTTTAGTTAAAATTATTGATGAATTTTCGCGTGTGAAGTGTTGATTTTACACGTTACCGGATCTAAACGAACTGGTGAACTCGGGTCCTTTCTTTACAAGATTTAAATAGTATTAAAAATTAATTCTTTAGTTGATTTAGTGCATTTTTAAAGTACAGATCCTACTCAAATGCCTCGTTTGCCTAGTTGTAAAAATGGCACAGCGCGTGTCAATCAATAAAGTTAAAGGAAGTTCTAGTTTTTTTTTTTTTCTTTTATATTCCAATATATGATTTTATATTAATATCGTGTGTTATAAATATAAATTGTTTATTAATTTTAATAATAAATATAGATTTAATAATTTATATATTGAAATTAAAATAGAATTTTGTTTATTAGATATAGTAGTAATGAACTTATTTTAAGGAATATTCTTCTATTTATTTTTATAATAAACTGTTTTAAAAATAATTTAAAAGCATGTTTAAATTATAGAATATAAATATATATATATATAATAATCGTTTTATACATGAAATTTTTAAAGTTATCATCTCTAAACTGTGACATTTATTACAATTTCTAAACAGGAAACGTCTTCGAATCCGCTGCTACACCGCCCCATTTTTTAAACATAAGTAAGGAATGTGTGCATATTTATGTATATATTAAAATAAGGAAAGCTAATTTGTAATCCTTGGCAGATGCCAAACTATATTTAAATGGTCATCATGGCGGATGACCTCATTTAAATGGTTGGATAGGCGGAGGAGCCGATGATCCTTGAAGAGTCGGACGTTCCAAGGTTACAACGAAAGATCGTTCGTCGACGATCTTGACCTCATTTCTAAATGATAAAATAAATATAAATTTAAAATTTTATTCCGTTTTAGATTTTAAAAAAATAATTCATTTTTAAAGTAATTAAAATATGGATTTAAATATTTACATTAGTTTACGTTTATTGTTTTATTTCACGCGAAGTTACTATTTTAAAACTGATTTTACGCGTAAATTGTACTTAAATATATATATTTCCGTGTATAACATTATCATATATCAATATTGTTTATTTAAACTGCGTGTATAACAGTATAATTATGATATATGCGACTATATATATATATAACATAAGGATGCCGTGTGGTACTGTATAAACTACAATAGAAAACTGCATTTACATTAAAAATGTTAAATTAATTCTTGTAAAAAATAATTAATAAAATGCTTTAATCAACTAACATAATGGAAAAATGAAATCAAGGATGACGAGAGAGCAACTCATCATTAAGATGTTGGCAATGCATCCTTGTTGGCAGATGAGTCTCATTCACATTCATGGGTGGATCTCTTAACGAATATATCAGTCGATTCATTAATTTTTCCAGTCTTCTTTGGGTGTCGACTGCCACATTACAGGGATATTTATTCTTCTATCTCATATGAAACATTTGAAATGTGTTCTCCTATGGAAATAACATGGTGTATCGCCTTCTAGCTTGGTAAAGTGAGTATTAAGCTTTATGTATATTGCACCCTTTCCATAGAAGAATTAAATGAGAATAATTTAATTTTTTTAAAATACATTCAACATTTCTGCGTTATTTAATATTTATTATAAAACTGTGCAAATTTTTCAATGTTTTTCAATGATTAAAATCGAATTTTAATGTTTCATTCCTTAGAAAATTCATATTTAATTTAAGAGATTCATTATAGATGTTACAATTATAGATTATATGCATTTAAACAACTTATTTAAATATAAATTAATAAATAATTTTAAAACTTATATTTCCAAACTATAAATAGATTTAAATTATTTTTTAATTAATAAAATATTTATTTGAACTTTTGAAACCAAAATAAAAAAATAATTTTCCTAATAATTGTTAAAATTCATACTAGATGGCAGCAGTTACAAATTAAACTTTTTTTTAATTGTTCTTTTTGCATTTTTATAATTTAATCAATAAAATAAAATTTAAAAATTAAAAATACTAACTTTATTCATAAATAAATTAAAAAAGCAATTTTTTTTAATTTTAAATTGAGAAAAACATTTATAACTTTGTTTAGATGATTCTAAAAGAAATACGTAAACTTGGAGCGAACACAGAAGGATACTTGTGTATATAAAATCTATACCGGAATTTATTTATTTTTTTGAAATATCGAGTGACGAGAAATATTTCTTTTATCGAAATCAATAACTTTAAAAAAAAACCTGTGACTCGGCATTGAAACTAAGTACAATTCCATATCAAGTTACATCATATAAGAGTGTTTGTTTCTTTCTTATTTATATGCATTTCGTTCCGTTTGGACACAACATTCAATCCTTTTGTACGCACGAAATGTGTCATCGAGTATACAATTATCTATAGTGACGACTTTTTGAGACGAGAGTCTCAGTGACTGGCACTTAAAATCATTAAATTCCTTACAGAAACGTATTAAATTAGGAATATTCGAGTATTTATTGAGATTCAAATCTTTTTATTTTTGCATTATATATTCTGTGTATGTTTCGGAGGATTGATGCTTACTTTTTCCAAGAGAATCGGAATAAAGTAAGCTACTTCAGTCTAGCTACGTATAAAATTATATGTAAAAAATATGAAAAAATCGATCTAAATTTCTTCTTTAGTGCAAAAAAAAAGTTTAAAAAGTGGCAACAAAATATCATAAAATATCGATTTAAATGAATAAAAAATAATCTTTAGTTTTGTTAGGATTTATCGATCTCTACCACAATTTTCTGATTTTTTTCAATTTTTCCTTTTTACTTTTTACATTTTTTAAAATAAAAAATAATAATTTTATTATTAAAAATTTTTCAATTTTTTTTTATATTTTTCAATTGAATTTAATTCTAAATAAGTCGAAAAATATTCAGTTTATGAGAATAAATGTGCAATTGTTTCACTAAGCTTAAGCAGTTATTGTGATGGCATTTGTCCTTTGTAAATTTTCCAAAGAAATTAATTAAAATTAAATAATTAATTAAATGCATAAATTATAAGTGTTAATTTTATTTTTATTGATGTAAAATTCTCGAACTTTTTTACTAAAGCAAATTATAGAGTTTGAATTTAGAAATTACTTAACTCACAAAAAAAGGTATTTATCCGTTTTATTCATTGGGATCATAAAACACTTTTCCAATCTGGAATACGCGTACTTCAGGTTACAAAACCTGGAGTGTAACCCAAGTTATAATCATGGGATACGAGAGACACGGATTAAAAAACTACGAGGTTTTATTGGCTATTTCAAAAGGTATGTCGGTCGAAAAGATGGAGAAACAACACCTAAACAAGTAGTCTGAAATGTATTCAAGTCGCAAATTAAATTATTAGAATTCATAAAATATATATTTTCTAATTAATCTTAATTCTTATTTAAACGTGCGAAGAAGTGTATAACAATTAATTTTCAATTTAAATATTGAAAACTTATTTATTTTAATTTTTTTTCTATTTTATTTTATTTTGTAAAAGCCTTCTTCTTACCAACTGAAAGCCAAATATCTATATACAGGTATATTATATCTCTTATGTGTTGTGCATCGCGTCTGTTTATCTCTATAGTAACAGTACTGAACAGAATAAAAAAAAAAGTCTTTTTCTTATGAAATATCTGTCAAAAAGTTTGCATATCTGGATTAAATATTGCAAGTAATCTTATCAGTTTTTCTTGTAATTTATTGTGAAGTGTGCATTTCGTGACGACGTTCATTAAATTAGGCTATATTCAATATCAATTTCTACTAGGTTAATTATATTATTCGAAAGTATAAGGAATATTGATAGGTAATTAAATTTATTTTTATCTCTACGCGGATAGTTTTAAATTAATTTATTTGAAACGTTCATTTTATTTCTGTCCTCAACGTCGTTCTTCTTATTATTATTTTAAAGAACTATCAATAAATTAAATATATCTAAATTTTGAATGTATAACTAAAATAATAGCAAAATTTCACAATTAAAAATTCCAATCAAAAGAATTTTGAGTAATTGAATAAACAACTCTGGCACTAATATAAAAATATATTTAATTACCTCATTAAAATTCATAATACGGATTTTACAATTAGATGGATTTTTAGTTAATGCCACCGATTTACTCGTTAATTTTCATTAATTTAAGATGAGTAAATGAAAGAACCTAATGTTATCACTTCCAGGGTTTTTTAAAAGCAGTGAAAAAGCCAACTTTAATTATTTTTGTCAGGCGAAATCAGCGAAGGACGGGTGTGATGCGATCGGTATCAGGTACGATGAGTGGATCGGGTGTGGCAACAGGATGCGGGAAGAGCAAGGTCGACTCGGTGCCATTTTACGATGGGTATTTTTAAAGAAAACATCCGACCACTCCCTCTGTCTTCAAACCGTACGACCTCGAATTAAACAATACTCTAGTTATTCATAGCCCTCGGGCCTTCAACACCGTGAACAGCGCAACAACTGATGAAAAATTTTAATTATATATTATTAATTAGAATACTTAATTTTAGTACAGAAAATATGTGAATTTAGTTTTTACTTTATAAATGTTCACTCTCGGTTAAATTTGTAGAAAAATTCAAATCGCTCACTTACGACGCAACGAACCTGTTATTCTACGCGTTTGAGTTATTGTTACATTTATAATTTTGACAAAGAATTAAAGTAAATAAAATAAAATTTTAGTAAAATCCATTTTCTATATAACTCGATTTAATTTAACGTATAACAAAACAAAATAATAATTATAATTCCTAGAGCAAATCTTCATCTCTGACTCATCGATGTTTTATCTGAAAGGATATATTCCTATTGATACGGAAGAGAGATAAAATAATGATAAACGATTAATAACTTATTTCATTTGATAAAAACAAATATTTCATCTCGTTAAAATAATGTACTAGACAATATTATTTATTGTTTCATCAAAAAGGTCTATGATAATCACGTGACAGACACTAAACTAATACTTCGAAACTGGAATTTTTCATTGTGAAGATAGAAATGAAATTTAAATATTATTTTACTTGTTCTAAGCATATATTTTATTACAGCAAATAATTATATATGAATATAATTTAATAATTTATTCACTTACATTAATAACTAGGAATTTTAACTCCTAAATAACGATTCCTATACAGGTATGTGCCACTTAATGATGAACCGCATATACGACATATGTTCCATAAGATTATAATTAAACTGAAAAATTCGCTGTCTCTCACACCTTTACTATATTTGCATGCATAGATAATGTTATTGTATTACAATTCTATTACATATAGTCTATGTGAGTAGTAGACTATACCACAAAGGTTTGTCTAAGCACATTGTGATGTTCGCTTAATGACGTATTTCTCAGAACATATCCCTGTCTTTAAACAACGCATATTTATAATTAAGAATTTTTATCAATTCATTCTACAGGGTGAACAAAAGTCAGTTAACTTGGTTAACTGACTTTTGAGCCACACTGTATTCATTATAATGTAATGATATATTCATACCTGTATACCAGACCTTTAAACTTTTCAACTTAAAGATTTTTGTAGATCAATCGAATAAATTTTAATTTTCATAAATTAAATAAATAAATAATTTACATTAATTAAATATTCAATTTATATAATTTAATATACAGAATTGAATAATGCTGAAAAGCATATACTCTCTATAAGGTCACTGTTTAAAGAGTAAATTCACGATAAATAAATATTTTTCCACATCTTGTAGGAGGAGAAGTTTAATTTTAAATATTTATCGAATTAATCTTATATTAAGTGAAATTTTTTATTTATTCATTTATACAAGAATAAAGATTATAAGAACTAAATTAATTATTATTATGGAGATGATTTAAGTCTCTGACCTGAGTACCTTGACGTTAGTGCATTTGCGCCGATCGAGTGGAAAACTTAGATACAACAAACCGATCTTGACCCACATAAAGGCGTGGTGATACCTACGGATCCAATAAAACAATTTCTTATACGCTTCGTCAGAAAGGAAATCGAAATGACAAGAAAAAAATACCTTTAACCTCTCGCCTCCTCTCTCCTATAAATTGCTCACTCACTCTTTTCACTTCAGTCTTCCTTCAATCCCTTAGCAAATAACATGCACTACACTGTAAGTATAAGTATTCCTATTACCTAAATCCCTTACGTATTAAATTTAATCCCTAATATTAAATTCCTTATTAAATACACATTCTTTTTCCATGAGGGGCATGGTTCTTCTAGCTGTTGGTATCTTTTAATTTCTTAGTTTTTTAACCATTTCAGATAGAAAAATAAATTCGGAAAATAATTTAATAAGACTATATTCTGTAAATCTGAATAGAAATATAATCAAATTAATCAGTTTTTTATATAAAATATTTGACGAAAGATTGGAATTAAACGCTAATTGAATATTGACTTAGATTAAGTCGTCTATTAAACGTAATTAGATATATTTTATTATGTAATATTTTCAGATACTGCTGATCTTTCTTGCTGGATACAGCACAGCCGCTCCAGCAGGATTTGGCGCTCACATCGTTCCTGCTCATCATCATGCCAAAATCGCTATAGCTAATGAAGCAGCTGTTAAAGCTCATGCCGTTGAAGCAGGAGCTGCTTTGAAAGGATATTCTTTTACTTCTGAAGTTGGACATGGCGGTTCTACCGTAACACATGTTGCTTCACCAGTAGCTCACGTTGCTGTTGAAGCTCCTGTTGCTCCAGCTGCGGTAGCTGTTGACGGTCCTATCGCCAAGGGTTACTCTTACGCCACCGAAGTCGGTCATGGTGCTGCAATAGCTCACGGAGCTGCACTCGCTCATGATGCTGCTGTAGCTCATGGAGCTGCTGTAGCTCATGGAGCTGCACTCGCTCATGGTGCTGCTGTTGGAGGTCCTATCGCCAAGGGTTACTCTTATGCCACCGAAGTCGGTCATGGTGCTGCATTCGCTCATGATGCTGCTGTAGCTCATGGAGCTGCACTCGCTCATGGAGCTGCTGTAGCTCATGGAGCTGCTGTTGGAGGTCCTATCGCCAAGGGTTATTCTTATGCCACCGAAATTGGTCATGGTGCTGCAATAGCTCATGGAGCTGGTATTGCTCAAGTTGCTCCAGCTGCAGTGGCTATTGGAGGTCCTATCGCTAAGGGTTTCTCTTATGCCACTGAAGTAGGACATGGAGCTGCTGTTGCTGTTGACGCTCCTGCTGCTAAAGGATTTTCTTATGCCACTGAAGCAGGACATGGTGCTGCAGTAGCCGCCGCTGCTGCTAAAGGATTCTCTTATGCTACTGAAGTAGGACATGGAGCAGCTGTAGCCGCCCCAGCTGCCGTCGCTGTTGACGCTCCTGCTGCTAAAGGATTCTCTTACGCCACCGAGGTAGGACATGATGCTGCAGTAGCCGCCCCAGATGCCGTCGCTGTTGACGCTCCTGCTGCTAAAGGATTCTCTTACACCAATGAAGTAGGACATGGTGCTGCAGTAGCCGCCCCAGCTGCTGTCGCTGCTGGCGCTCCTGTTGCCAAGGGATTTTCTTATGCTACTGAAGTAGGACATGATGCTGCTGTTGCTCACGGGGCTGCCGTAGCTCATGGTGTTGCTGTAGGTCATGTTGCAGCTCCAGCTGCTGTTGCTGTTGATTCTCCTGTCGCTAAAGGATTCTCTTATGCAAGTGAAGTAGGACATGGTGCTGCAATAGGTGTTGCTGTAGGTCATGTTGCAGCCCCGGCTGCTGTTGCTGTGGATGCTCCCGTTGCCAAGGGATTTTCTTATGCAAGTGAAGTAGGACATGGTGCTGCAATAGCTCATGGTGCTCCAGTTGCAGTGGATGTTGGAGGTCCTATCGCCAAGGGTTACTCTTATGCCACTGAAGTTGGTCATGGTGCTGCAATAGCTCATGGAGCTGCACTCGCTCATAACGCTGCTGTAGCTCATGATGCTGCTGTAGCTCATAATCGTGCTGTAGCTCATGATGCTGCTGTAGCTCATAATCGTGCTGTAGCTCATAATGCTGCTGTAGCTCATAATGCTGCTGTAGCTCATGATGCTGCTGTAGCTCATAATCGTGCTGTAGCTCATAATGCTGCTGTAGCTCATAATCCTGCTGTAGCTCATAATGCTGCTGTAGCTCATGATGCTGCTGTAGCTCATGAAGCTGCACTTGCTCATGGTGCTGCTGTAGCTCATGCTCCAGCTGCAGTGGCTATTGGAGGTCCTATTGCTAAGGGTTATGCTTATTCCTCTGAGGTTGGCCATGGTGCTGCAGTAGCTCATGTTGCTGGACCAGCAGCTGTTGCCGTGGAAGGTCCTCTTGCTGCAGGTTATTCATATTCTACTGGACTCGCACACACGGCTCCCGTAGCAGCTGTAAAATCTGCTGGCGTTTACCACGGTCCCATTAAAACAGTTGACACGCATTCCGTTGTAGGAGTAAAATCAGCTGGAGCTTATTATGGCCCAGATCACTTATAAAATTATATTATTTTGGGGAACGATGGGATTTGCTCAAGAGTAAATTAATAAGTATAGTACATATTGTATTATTAGAATAATAGAATTGGAAAGAACTTATTAATTGTAAAATAGAATATGTGAGCTTTTTTTATTTTTGTTTTTTTTATTTTGTTTTGTTTTATTTTATTTTCATAAGTTATGTATGTATAAAATTATTTTTTAAAATAATTAATTAATGATATTATTGTTTATTAGTGTTAAAATAAATTTATTCATTTTATTTAAATTCTTATTTTTTTAATCTTCAAAAATAATTACGTAAATAAATGTCATTTTCTTGCATTTTAATGAATTTAGTATTTCTTATGACTTCATAATGCAATAAATTGACACACATCTAAAAGTTCGATTAAATTTGGATCTGACTTGCATTTTATCAATATTACGTAATCGATTAATTCCTTTCATCTATAAACAAAATGGCGACCTCTTTAATATTTAGATTAATGCAAATTTAATATGTGCGAAGAATCTGAGAATTTTGTAAGGGCTTTCTTATGGCTTCTTTCTCGGAATGAAGATACTGTATGGCTCAAAAGTCAGTTAACAGCGGTATATTTTTGATAATAATTAAAACCGGTTGGAAACAGCTACAGGAATAATAAAATGCATATGTTTCAAACTGAATTTTAATGTTTTTTTAAAATATATATATACAGTATATATCTCGGTTAACTGACTTTTGAGCTACTGTATACGTAGTCTATCATAACAACTGCTAATGAGGATACAGTCACTATCAGGATGGCTAGTGATCAAACTGAGACCGCGCAAGAATTCGTATTCTGGAGTCCAAGATTGACCGAAGTGGAGAATGCTGCTCTGAAATAAAGCGAAAAGTTAGTACTGGGTCTTACTGCAATACGATCTGGAAAAGCAAGGACATCAGTTTTGATGTCAAGTACCGACTTGTAAACTCAATTGTCTTTCTGTAATAATGTATAGCTACAGGAGCTGAATACTAAAAAAGGCAGACAGGAGGAAGATACATGCATTTGAACTATGGTGCTAGAGAAAAATGCGTAGGCTAGCAGCAATCACTAACAAAGAAGTACTAGTTCGGATTAAGCCAAAAATTTCCTGGCAAATCGTTCATATGTTACGTTGACTGATTTTCAGCCAGCATACTTTAAGTGTCGTTGAGGTTCCATGGTGTGCCACAACGACACTTCAAGTGCGCCGCTAAGTAAATTGATGAAAGAAGGTAACTCAACACTTGGGTGATCTGCCAAGAAGGAGTGCCACCCGAGAGGACTTTCTAGGGGAAACTAGCTCCTACTTGGATATTAGACACGTGAAGAAAACCAGGAAAATCACGTAGCCCGCTCGTTAGTGAGAAGCAAACCCGCGACGACTGTTTAGCGATTTTATCCACTTGGGAGCTCCGGTGAAAAATATAGTGCTGAGTAGCGCCATAACGTTTCTGTGTGTTTTTGAAAGTAGTAAAAATGCAGTAACTCTAATACAGTAGGGGTGCCGCAAGAAAAAAATGATTAAGTTGAGGATATCACTACAAAAAAGAAGGTTGAAAACAGTGTCTTATATCATCAATCCAATCCATTTGTATATAGAAACCCGAAATATAAATCAGTCAATGTTTACTATTTGTATTACTTAAAATTTGCTATAATGTAAAATTATGCGTTGTATAATTCCTAAATAAAATTTATTAACAATTTATTAGCATTATGGTGTGTTGTAGCATGCAATTTCTACTTCTCAGAATTGCAACGATAACACTCGTTATGGATTTTTTTTCTTTGTCCAAATTTCTTATTTCATATTAAGCAAATTAACAAGTACAGTATCGTTATACTTTGTTTCATGTTATGCAAATAAGCATGATGTTGATAAGTTGCCATACGCGTTTATAGAAACATTCGGTTGCAATTATAAATTCATTCTGTCAATCTATATTATGTAATAAGCAATTTTCAATTACTGTATTTATTTTAACAAATTTATGAAAAATCAATTTGTAAATTCCTTTCTTTATCATCACCGAATTTAAATAATTATTAAACATTTTATTGTTTACAATTTATACTATTTCTTTATGTACGTATTGATTTCTTAATTTGTACGTTGTTTTTACATTTTAAGCCCTTGGGTAGTGCTATTTTTTATATTTCTTCATATTCATAAAATTAAATGTGACATATTGAAATTCTACTTTTATGTCATAAGCATTTGGAAATTGTGTGCAAAGGCAATACGTTTTTGCCATAGGCAAAATTATGTAATGTTCATAAGTCTCTTCTATTACAGATTTATGAAAACAAAAATAGATTTCAAGGAAAATAATGAAAATGTTAAATGCATAAACTTGTTACACGAAGGATTTAATGCCTGTTGGTTTGGGTGGTACTGTACATTAGAGCATATTTTTACATCAGTTTGATACCATTTCTTCAATTTTACAATGAGAAATTCTAAAGGTTGACGTCAAATTTATATAAAAATGTACTGTATGTACACTATTTCAACCAATCGAACAAACCTATAATTTTATTAGCTTATCCAATGTTTTAACAGAGAACTGTTTTCGAATTATTAAAGATTTATATTTTAAAAAATGAATTATTATTAAGACTTTTCTTATCAATTTCGTAGCTTTTCACCAGTGATAGATTTAACNATGCTGCTGTAGCTCATAATCGTGCTGTAGCTCATAATGCTGCTGTAGCTCATAATGCTGCTGTAGCTCATGATGCTGCTGTAGCTCATGATGCTGCTGTAGCTCATGGAGCTGCACTTGCTCATGGTGCTGCTGTAGCTCATGCTCCAGCTGCAGTGGCTATTGGAGGTCCTATTGCTAAGGGTTATGCTTATTCCTCTGAGGTTGGCCATGGTGCTGCAGTAGCTCATGTTGCTGGACCAGCAGCTGTTGCCGTGGAAGGTCCTCTTGCTGCAGGTTATTCATATTCTACTGGACTCGCACACACGGCTCCCGTAGCAGCTGTAAAATCTGCTGGCGTTTACCACGGTCCCATTAAAACAGTTGACACGCATTCCGTTGTAGGAGTAAAATCAGCTGGAGCTTATTATGGCCCAGATCACTTATAAAATTATATTATTTTGGGGAACGATGGGATTTGCTCAAGAGTAAATTAATAAGTATAGTACATATTGTATTATTAGAATAATAGAATTGGAAAGAACTTATTAATTGTAAAATAGAATATGTGAGCTTTTTTTATTTTTGTTTTTTTTATTTTGTTTTGTTTTATTTTATTTTCATAAGTTATGTATGTATAAAATTATTTTTTAAAATAAATTTCACCCTTTGTTATGAAAAGAAGTAATCTTTCAATAATTAACATTATAATATCTGTTAAAATACAAAATGTTCTATTTTGATATTGTGCAAAAATATATTATGAAATATTTATTCAAATTGTTCTTAGTTGTCAGTTTCTTACGAATATTATACAAACATTATACAAACAATTGTCATCTTATGGAAATCATTATCTTTTTTAAAATTTAGTTTCTTTCGCCAAACATTTTAAATATTTTAAAGTTATCAATGTTTAAAAGTATTAAATTCGCGTTATTTATTCTAATTTAAAAAATGAAATTCCCACTTAGGAGAAAGAATTGTAAAGGCAAATTAAAAACGAAATAGGCGATTTCAAATAGTCATTTATGATATTTCAAAATAACATTCACAAGTAATTAATTACTTAAATATAATTTAAATAAATTATTTAATAAATAATTCGAAAATTTAAATTTATAAATCCAAAAATCGAAAAGTTACACTAAAAGAAGTCTCAGGAATATTTTGTGGAAGTCTTTTGGCTATGAATTAGTAAAATTAAAAAGTGCTTTGGAAAAATTTCGTCCAATATGAATTAGCAATTATTCAAAAGAATGCAGTAAGAAGCTTTAAATACTATTTTAATTAATTTGGAATTATTTAGTTAAATACGCAGTAGAGTCAAACATAAATCAAACATTTGACACAAAAGTTTTACTACACGATACAGAAACTCTTATACCATGTCACTTTCAAAATAAGCTCCTATTGTAGCTTATGCCTGTGTCCATATACCATTTGTCAAAGCAGTACTGGAAGCTACTTTTGTGATGCTACAGACTCTCGTCACTACAATTTCTATCTCCGCTGCTTTGGTGTCAAGATCAAAGAATAAAAACGTTGAGAGAGCACTGTTATTCTCTTAGTCAAGGATTCATTAACCAGGAACAACTGATTAACAGAAGTTTAATGTGGAAGAAAACTCTTAAATATATCACAAAAATGGCTTTTAGGACCATTTTGACAAGTGGAATTGATGCTACTAGAAGTATGTAGCTGTAGATACTTATTTTAAAAGTGCGCTTCTGTAAATACTTGCACTATTAATGTAATAAAAGTTAGATTTATTTATACCCTACTACGTAGGGGAGACCGGGACAAGATCGGCATGTTAAGCTTTACTTAAATTTTGTGTAATAAATACTGCTGTAAACTGAAAAAAAAGCTTTGCATATTGTCTATTGGAATGTTACCTTACTATAGAACTGGTTAAAATCAGTTTGGAAATAAAAATAATTAAAATAATTACAACTTTACAAGAAGAGAGAAATTGACGAAGTTGCCCCGGGTATAGGGGCAAGATCGGCAACTTCTCTCTTTTTGTAAAGTTGTAATTATTTTAATTATTTTTATTAAAGTTGCCCCTGGTATAGGGGCAACAGTAATGGGGCAAGATAGGCACGTATATAAAATTATGTTATTAACAATGTATAAGTTGGAATTCACTACTAAAACAAAGAAATACAAATCCAACACCCATTTAATATTATTACAACGAAATGCAAGTTCAAAGACATATATACATGAATAACAAATGCAAACATGTTTTCATTTATCATCTGTTTGATTTTTATCCTTTGCTTCTAATGTGGCTTTATGTTGCCGATCTTACCCCGCTAGTCAGGATTTCGAAACATTAAGTACAACCCTGAGAACAGAATGCCAAGCCACGATCTGGCCACGTGAATAAGTTGAAGTTACATCCTTCTAACAGGAAAAGTAACTTTCGTTATCATGGAATTATAACAAAACCTGCCAATTCAATATAAATGGAAAAAAAAAATTATATGGAATTGAACGAAAATGAAAATTTGCTTGATAATTCAACTACGCTTGTTGGAGAACAATAAAAACACTACACTCAACAAGCCACCAATAAAACTCAACTGCCTAACCTATAACCAAAGTCTCCTTTTAATTTGTTTTTAAAAAAAAGCGCTTGACAAACTTGCCCCGCATGCCGAAGTTGCCCCGGTCTCCCCTATATAGGTAATCGTAGAATAGTTATACTCGAATATTACATTAGTATATCGTTACGGGTCTCGCTATAAATTAATATGTAATATTTAGAATATACAATTACTGGCGCATTTATTTTTATCTTTAACTTTATGTAAATTTATATCCTTTCCTCGACGTCTACGTCGAGGAAAGGATATAAATTTTTTCTTAAAATATAATACTTCAATCCTTAAAGAATCCTACTAAATACGCGGTATTAGTTGTCTTGTGAAGTATTAGATAGTACTTAGTAAGTATTCTAAGTACTATTAATTAATTAAGGAAGTATTAAGTATTCAAATACTTCACTCCTACTGTATGGATTGAATATTTTAATTAAAAGATAGACATTTATATCTTTCTTTGAAGGTTTAAAGAATATTTTATCAGGTAGCTTAATCTACCGGTACTAAGATTATTATGAAATTATTCAGAGCTAGATTCACAGGGCCTAAAGAGAGTTAAGCTCTCCCCATTGACTTACAAAAAAATAATTAAAATTTATTCCTTCAAACTTCAAAACGTTGTTTTTAAAAGCATTTATAATGGTTTTTCGGACCATCTCCAATGCAATCATCTTGCGTATGTTAATAAAAAGCTACTTATAATTATTCAAATATTGTAACTATCTAAATAGAAGCGCGACGCAGTTAAGCTTCTAATATGTACTGTACTATATATGATATAGTCTAAATTAAGTTCGTTTTATATTGCAATATATTGATATATTATACTTATTTTCGTTACAGTTAAATAATTATAAGGATCTTTACGAATCTACAGGAATAAATATAAAGGATCATCTATAAGTTATATAACTCTATTTTTATAGTTTTCAACTATTATCCCACCCTCTGTAACGCTCCATAACGTGTCGCACATATCACACTCAAAATTACGTAACGCATATCCTCGATCGATCTCCTTAATTGTACTAAGGAATAAATAGGGATTAAGTTATTTTATTAATTTAATTACGTACAAATCAGTGACATAAACAGCAGAGTTCGTTAAGCAACTCTTCTGAACAAAAATTAATCGGTTTGTTACCGAAGGGTTAAGGTCTCAGCATTACGTAACGTTTTTGTAAACATCCCCACATCCTTGTAAGGCATCGTTACGATTATCTACATGCCCACCCCCTCCATATTTGCGTTGCGTAACCTATAGACAGCCCTTATATTTATAACAGTACTGCACCGTAAGGAAACTGTACAGAGGCGGCGTAAGGCGTGGGCGACGTGGGCCACAGCCTACGGCCTCGCGGTCCGAGGGGCCTCGCGCCTCGAAGGTTTACGCATTACTTAAAAAGGCTGTGAACGCAACGGAAAAATTTTACTCGTCATAAAACGATAAATATATTGACAAAGGAGACCAAGAAAACGAAAGGCTAATTCGTGAATCTCAAAAACATTAGCACAATTTGTTTGAGAGATTAATTAATATCATTAATTTCTTATCCTCTCATAATCTGGCATTAAGAGGTCACAGAGAATCTCTCAAGACAGACGACGGCACTAGGAATTCTCGTAACTTAATAGACTTATTTAACACCACGATTGGTTCTATAATAAGCAATATAGATTTGAGATTTATGTCTTTAAATCGACATTTTGAAAATTTTGGTTTTCTCTATGATCTAAGCGAGTTAAAAAATATTCCAAAAGAGCAAATATTAAAAAACTGTCAAGATTTACACTCAGTCCTGCGAGTGGGTGAGAGCAGTGACTTCAAACCTTACGAATTATATGAAGAATTACAAACAATGATCCCAAATTTACCCAACTTCATTAAAAATGTGAAACAGCTGCTCCAATACATAACAGAAAATAACTTGAAAGAAATTTACCCAAATATTTCCATTGTCATTCGAATTTTGTTAACAATACCGGTAAGTACTGCCTACGCTGAAAGGAGCTTTTCAAAATTAAAACTAAAAAAATTATTTAAGAAATACAATTGGGCTTGGAAAGACTTTCAGCTTTATCTATTGAAGCATATATAGCATCTAAGCTAAATTACGATACAATTATTAAGGAGTTTTTTTAACTCTTTCCGCCCTGTAGACACTAAGAGGGCCTCTTTTTGCAAGCCCATTATGGGTTCGGCCAGGCCCATAATGGGGCTGCCGGGTGGTGAGGGACGGGGCCCGACATATCCGAACGGACCACCCCCAGAAAAATTCCAGAGCGGTAGGCTGCCACCTTGACCGCTCGGCCATCCGACCGCTATTATTTAAGGAGTTCAGTAAGGCTAAAAGCAGGAAATTTCTGTTTCTTTAATTCTTTTTTTATTTATATATATATATTTTTTAATTTTTCTTTAATGTTAGTCAAAGAATATAATTTGCATTTTTATGAATAAAAATTTGACAGTTTCAACTGCTTTTTATTTTATAAAATCCGTCTTCTTGCGCCACCAGAGGGCCTCGCAAAATGTACCTTGCCCACGTCAAATTTAGGTCTTGCTCTGCCAATGAAACTGTATCACCGCCATTATTATCGTCCAGTTTAATAATAAGTTTACTGTAGTTTCGTTTCAAACATCTATAAACACAAAAGTAACCAAGAAAGTATTTAACAAATATATAACTAGTATCAAAATATAAGCTATGCATATTACAACAAACTTGTAAATAAAAATGTGCAGCAAGTATTTGAAATCGTAGATTAAATCTTCGAAGCGCGAGACAAATAATGGCGGAACTTCCGGCTTGTTGGTCGGTGGAGTTATTGTATGGTTGGCAGAATATAGATAACGTGCCATAGATGAAACTTTGTTTCTGATTTGCTAAGTGCAGGGTCTCCGCAAAAGAGCTGAAGGGTGTGCACTATACACAGTCGCTGTCGTCAAGGTGCA